CCTCCAGAGTAGCTGGGATTACAGGTGTACGCCACCATGCCCAGCTAATTTTTATGTTTTTAGTAGAGATAGGATTGTACCACGTTGGCCAGCCTAGTCTCAAACTCCTGGCCTCAAGTGATCCACCGGCCCCAGCCTCCCAAAGTGCTGGGATTACAGGTGTGAGTCACCGTGCCCGGCCACATTTCCTTTTTTTTTTTTTAATTAGCTGGTCATGATGGCTTATGCCTATAGTCCCAGCTTCTGGGGAGGCCAAGGTGAGAGTATTGCCTGAGCTCAAGAGGTGGAGGCTGCAGTGATTTGTGATGACGCCACTGTAGTCTAGCCTGGGTAGTAGAGCAAGATCTGTCTCTCTTTAAAAAAAAAAACAAAAAAACACCAAACTCCTGCACTATCTGTGTAAAAGTGCCTGCCCTCCTCTCCCCAGAGAAACCCACCACAAGGCACCCTCTGGAGAACAGAACCAGCAAGCTCAGTGGAGGCCCCTCTCTGGATAATCTAGGTCTAGAGTAAACTTCTTCAGACTTCTCCAGGTTGTTAAGGCCAAAAGCTACAATGCTGAGTATCTGGGGTCTCTAATCACACGGCAATCTGCCTAAGGTCTTTCTAAGAGCTGGAAATACAGCAAGAAGGGGGCCCCTTGAGGAGAAGGATGAAAAGGCCTTTGCCTGCTGCCTGCATCTGCGAGTGGGTCAGAGAGTGGAGCATCAGGACCATGTTCTCTGCAGCAAGAAAATATCTCATTTCAAGGCTGTCAGGGCTGGAGTTGGTGCCGGGCTAGGCAAGCCGGAAGCGTGGGCTACAGCTGCCCCCACCTCAGCTCAGCTCGTGCCTCCCAGCACACACAGAGGCTGCCTCAGAAAGAGGGGTGGGGTGGAGGGAAGAGAAAGAAAGAGAGAGAGAGACAGAGGCCGACCGTCCAGGCTTGCGTGAAGTCTGGGCTCAGGGCCGCTGGGGAGGAATGGGAGCTGGACTCAGAGATAAGCTATTTTGGGCCGGAGACTCGTCCTTGCCCTCCTCTGGGGCTGGTCCCTGATCTGTCGCTCTGCTCCCGCCTGCACACGGACACAAGTGTCCTTGGCCCTCGGCTGGTCTGAACTGAGATGTGTTGGCAGAGAATAGAGCAGCAGAATACATGCCAGAATCCTAAGACTTTCTACCAAATCAAAAGGAAAATGTCTCATTAATCACTTTATATTGATTACATATTGAAGTGATAACCTTTTGGATACATTGAGGTAGATTTTATAATATATGTATGTATATATGTATATATACATATATGTGTGTGTATAACACACACACACACACACATATAGTTTTAGAAACAGGGTCTCGCTCTGTCACCCAGGCTGGAGTGCAGTGGTGCAATACAGCCCACTGCAGCCTCAAACTCCTGGACTCGAGGGATCCTCTTGCCTTATCCTCCCAAGTAGCTATGACAACAGGCCACCACCTCTGGCTACTTGTTTTTTTATTTTTTGTAGAGACAGGGTCTTGCTATGTTGCCCAGACTGGTCTTGAGCTCTTGGCCTCAAGCAATCCTCCCACCTCAGCCTTCCAAAGCACTGGGATTACAGGCATGAGCCACTGCACCAGGCCTAAATAAAATATATTCTCAAAATGAACTTTTAAGCTTTTTTTTTTTTGAAACTGAGTTTCTGCTCTTGTCGCCCAGGCTGGAGCGCTGTGGCGCTTTCTCAGCTCACTGCAACCTCCACCACTCGGGTTCAAGCAATTCTCCTGGCTCAGCCTCCCAAGTAGCTGGAATTACAGGTGCCCGCCACCACACCCAGCTAATTTTTTTGTATTATTAGTGCAGACAGGGTTTCACCATGTTGGTCAGGCTTGTCTCGAACTCCTGACCTCAGGTGATCAGCCCACCTTGGCTTCCCAAAGGGCTGGGATTTACAGGCGTGAGCCACCACGCCTGGCCCAACTTTTAAACTTTTAAAATGGGGCTACTAGAAAATTTAAAATGGGCTGGGCATGGTGGCTCACACCTATAATCCCAGCACTTTGGGAGGCCAGGTCGATCACCTGAAGTCAGGAGTTCGAGACCAGCCTGGTCAACATGGTGAAACCCAGTCTCTACTAAAAATACAAAAATTACCTGAGTATGGTGACAAGTGCCTGTAATCCCAGCTACTCATGAGGCTGAGACAGGAGAATCACTTGAACCCAGGAGGCAGACGTTGCAGTGAGCCGAGATTGTGCTGTTGCACTCCAGTCCGGACTCTGTTTCAAAAACGAAAGGAAAAAGAGAACATTTAAAATGACAGGCACTTGTAATGGTGTTTTGTTTTGTTTTGTTTTTTGAGACTGGGTCTCACTCTGTAAGCCCAGGCTGGAGTGCGATGGTGCCATCATAGCTCACTGCAGCCTCCAACTCCTGGACTCAAGTGATACGATCCTCTTGCCTCCGGCTCCTGAGTAGCTGGGACTACAGGCACCATGCCACCATGCTAATTTTCTATTTTTATTTATTTATTTATTTTGTAGAGTTGGAGTTTTACCATGTTGCCCAGGCTGGTCTTGTACTCCTGGCCTCAAGCGATCTGCCCACCTCGGCCTCCCCAAAGAGCTGGGGTTACAGATGAGAGCCACCACACCCAGCCCCTTCTCCAACATTTAATGCAAACTCTGGAGTATAAGAGGGGCATGAACTGGGGGTAGAGTGAGGCAGGCTTTGATTTTAAAGTCAGAGCCTGTCACCTGCCACGTATGATGGCTCATGCCTATAGTCCCAGCTACTGAGGAGGCAGAGGCGGGAGGATCCCTTAAGCCCAGGAGTGAGGCTGCAGTGAGCTCTAACTGTGCCATTGCACTACTCTAGCCTGGGTGACAGAGCAAGACCCCATCTCTAAAAGAGTTGTTTTTAATTTTTTTTTTTTTTGAGACGGAGTTTCGCTCTCATTACCCAGGCTGGAGTGCAATGGCGCGATCTCGGCTCACTGCAACCTCCGCCACCTGGGTTCGGGCAATTCTCCTGCCTCAGCCTCCTGAGTAGCTGGGATTACAGGCACGCACCACCGTGCCCAGCTAATTTTTTGTATTTTTAGTAGAGACTGGGTTTCACCATGTTGACCAGGATGGTCTCAATCTCTTGATCCACCCACCTCGGCCTCCCAAAGTGCTGGGGATTACAGGCTTGAGCCACCGCGCCCGGCCTAATTTTTTTTTTTAAAGAAGCCGTCACCATTCAGAGGCTACCCCAGACCCACCAGGGCCTGATAATACCTTTAGAGGCCTCTGCAGGCCTTAAGAATAGCCAAGATTATGATTTACTACCACCCCATGTATGAAGTGAAATAAAACTACCCTAACCCATAAAATGAGAATAAAAGAGTTCATAGAGGCCGGGCATGGTGGCTCATGCCTGTAATCCCAGCAGGCTGAGATGGGAGGATCCTGAGGTCGGGAGTTTTGAGACCAGCCTGACCAACATGAGAAATCCCATCTCTACTAAAAATACAAAATTAGCCAGGCATGGTGGTACATGCCTGTAATCCCAGCTACTCAGGTGGCAGGAGAATCACTTGAACCTAGAAGGCAGAGGTTGCGGTGAGCTAAGGTTGAGCCATTGTGTTCCAGGCTGGGCAACGAGAGTGAAACTCCATCTCAAAAAAAGGAAAAAAAAAAGAGTTCATAGAAGGTCTAATAGCCCATATAAGACTACTGTGATGTACTCTGTGTGTGGGTAAGCATACTGGAAACCCAGCCAACCTACCAGCCTAACCATCACTTCCCACTGGGAAATGTCACCATTGGCGGGACCATCAGGCAGGGACTGAGTGGGTGGGAGAGATCTATCTGGAGTGGGAAGAAGGAAGGAAGGAGATGAGGTCTCCACCCCTCCCATGGCCCTAGAAAGCCCCCTTCCACGCTTTTCCATGCTTCCCTCCATCCTGGCCACCATATTCTCCACCAGCCAGTGGAAAATGGAGCAGCTGGAATGTCAGCCGTTGGGGTCTCCCCACTGCCCGGGTCTGTTCGCCCACCACCTCCAGGAAGCTCTTCGGCTCATCTCTTTGCCAACTCCTCGTGGGCCTTGTTCCTTCCCACTTCCCCCTCCCTTCCAGTCCAGCCTGAAGGGCCACCCACTCAAGAAAAGGCCCAGGGCCTGCACCTCTGGCCTTCCAGGTAATTTCTCTACTCTTGAGACCAAAGAAGGGAGACCCTTTGCCTCAGCCCAGGCCTGGCAAGAGTTTGGGCTGAGAAGCTCATTAAAGCTTTCTAATAAGCAATTAACTGGGGGATGAGCCCTTTGGCTGGCCTGGGTCTCCCTCCTCCCAGCAGGGAGCTTGGCAGAGAAAGGCTGAGTAGGTGGGCGGAGATGAGACACTCAGTGTCTCTCAGGCGCTTGGGGCCCCTTTCCTCCTCCCCTAAATATAAATGAATACATAAACAGAACCCGAGGGCGCAGAGCCTGAGGCTGAGGCCTGGCTTCCCCTATACTGGGGGCTCCATCGGCTTTCTGCCAAGGCTGCAGAAGGCTTGGGAGGCCAGGGTGCAGCCACTGTGCGCTCAGGCCCTCTGAGATGGGGGCCTGCGAGGTTCTTGGCTCACAGTTGAGTGTGCGCGGTCCTGAGGAGGGGCAGCTCCCGCCTGCTCCAGACCCCCTGGGCATCCTGGCCCCATTCAAGCCAATCTCCCCAGCACTGTCCTTGGGAGACGAGGCAAAGGGCTTGAGCAAGGATGGCACTGTGGAGGGCAGGAGGGGCACCGGGTCAGCCCTGTGGTTCCAGAGTGGAAAGGGGGCATCACAGCGTTGCCCCCCACCTGCTCAGACCCCCTCCCACATGCACACAGAGCCCCACGTCAGAGTCAGGCTGGGGGAGACTCAGGGCACGAGGGTCTTCCTGCCGGAGTAGAGGGTGGGGCTGCTGCCTCGCACAGCTCCAGGGGGCGCCGTCGACACAGATGCAACCTGGCCCAACCAGTGGTGAAAGCGGATGCCTGGCAGGTAACAGCACTTTCTCCTGTCTCTGTCCCTTCAGGCTCTTGAGCAACAACAAGATCACGGTGCTCCGCAACGGCTCCTTCTTGGGACTGTCGCTGCTGGAGAAGCTGTAAGTGTTGGGGACGGTGTGGCGGAGGTGGGGGTTGGTGGAGATGGCAAGAGGTCACCCCGGGGAGGAGGAGGAATGCTGGTCGCTGAGTGACTCCAGAACCTTCTGGCTGAGCAGGGCCTGGAGTTAGACCCACTGGGACCCTGCCCAGTTCTTGACTCACAAGGAGAGGCCAGAGGCGCTGGTGTGGAAGTGAGAGACCAGCTCCTCCGCCAGCCACAGGGAGAGAAGCGGGGAAGCCTGGCCGGGCCAGGCGGGGAGGGAGCTCTGAGAAGCTCATTAACGCTCTTTAATGAGCAATTAGCTGTGAGGGCCTCCCCCTCAGCTGGCTGCCCCTCCCAGCTGGGGGCCCAGCGTTAAAGGGCTGAGGGCGGCTTAAAGCGACTGACTGTGGCCCCTTTCCTCCTTCCCTACAAACAAATCAACAAACAAAGCCCCAAGGGGGCTGAGGGTGGGGAAGGCTGATAGTTTCCAAGCCTCTCCCCTACTCCAGCCCACCCCACCCTGGTTCAGAGCTGCCTGGGCAGCAGCAGCCATCAGGCGGGCCTTGGGCCTGTGGCTGCCAGGGCCCCGCTAGCCGGCTAGAACCTCCTTCCCAGAACCGGGGCCCCTGTGTCTGGTGGGGCCAGCTTGGGAAAAGGGTTATCGAGGAGGAGCTGGTGGCCGTGAGTTGTTAGGGAAATGGGGGGATGCAGAAGCCCTGCCCTCTCCTCGCAGGGAGAGTGTTGACAGGGCTGGTGGAGAGGTAGGGTAAGGCCTGGGTGGGAGGCCTCACTCGGCCATTTGGACCAGTCATGAAGCTGCCAAACGTGAAGTGAAACCCCCTCTCTCTAAACCCCCTGCTCTGTCGCTACACTCCAGGGTCTCAGCCTGGACCACAGCTCCAGGGCCTTGCCCCTCCACAGAGGAGGCCTTGTCCCCCAATCTCTCCTAGAGCCTGACTTTTGGTTTCTCTCTGCTCCCGCCTCCCCCACCCCGCAGCTCCTCTCCCATCTTTGCTCCCATCCTTCTAGGCGTTCCCAGTTCCTCCAACAGGGAGGGTCCTTGGCCCCTCTAGCACCATTTTGCCCAAAAGCTTTGGGTCAGTGCAATGGGAGACAGACACAAAAGAATAAAATGTGACGGGGCTGGGTGTGGTGGTGGCTCACGCCTGTAATCCCAGCACTTTGCAAGGCTGAGGCAAGCAGATCACGAGGTCAAGAGATCGAGACCATCCTGGCCAACATGGTGAAACCCTGTCTCTACTAAAAACGTAAAATTTAGCTGGGCATTTTACATATAGGTGGCACATGCCTATAGTCCCAGCTACCTGGGAGGCTGAGGCAGGAGAATCTCTTGAACCCAGGAGGTGGAGGTTGTAGTGAGCCAAGATCACACCACTGCACTCCAGCCTGGTGACAGAGTGAGACTTTGTCTCAAAAAACAAAGAGAAAAGAAAAAGGTGTGGCGCCTGCTGGAAAAGAGCCCAGGCAATTGCTGTCCAGGGCAGGCCACAAGCAATGCCGTATGTATGAGGGTTAATAGACTGAAGCTGGGCACAGTGCAGTCCCGGGCAGGCCAAAAACAATGCCACGTATATGAGAATTAAGTAGACTGGAAGCTGGGCACAGTGGCTCTGTGAATCCCAGCACTTTGGGAGGCCAAGGCTGAAGGGATCGCTTGAGCCCAGGAGTTCAAGGCTGCAGTGAGTTATGACTGTGCCCCTGCACTCCAGCCTGGGTAACAGAGTAAGACCCTATCTGTTAAAAACACACACACATAGGCTGGGCACGGTGGCTTGCACCTGCAATCCCAGCACTTTGGGAGGCCAAGGCAGGTGGATCACTTGAGGTCGTTCAAGATCATCCTGACCAACACGGTGAAATGCCCTCTCTACTAAAAATACAAAAATTGGCCGGGCGCGGTGGCTCAAGCCTGTAATCTCAGCACTTTGAGAGGCCGAGGCGGGTGGATCACGAGGTCAAAACATCGAGACCATCCTGGTCAACATGGTGAAACCCCATCTCTACTAAAAATACAAAAAATTAGCTGGGCATGGTGGCGCGTGCCTGTAATCCCAGCTACTCGGGAGGCTGAGGCAGGAGAATTGCCTGAACCCAGGAGGCGGAGGTTGCGGTGAGCCAAGATTGCGCCATTGCACTCCAGCCCGGGTAACAAGAGTGAAACTCCGTCTCAAAAAAAAAATACAAAAATTAGCTGGGTATGGTAGCATGTGCCTGTAGTCCCAGCTACTCAGAAGGCTGAGGCATCAGAAGCCAAGGTTGCAGTGATCTGAGATCACACCACTGCACTCCAGCCTGGGTGACAGAACCAGACTCCGTTTTAAAACACACACACACACACACACACACACACAGAGAGAGAGAGAGAGAGAGATTGGGGCTCCTGTCAGGTTCAAAGGAGATTTCAGCTAAGTCCAAAGGAGTGTTCACAGTTAATAGACACAGTATGGATGTGATGTGGTGTGGAGATCTCTCACCATGACAGCAGTCTCGTGAGGGAGCCTCTGTGACACCCATTTCACAGTGGAAGGGGAAGCCGCTGGCCCCAAACCCCCGAGGCTGGGAGGAAAGAGTGATGACCTGGCTGGGTTCCTGGGAGTGGGAAGGCACAAATCCCATATTTGGGCAGAAAGACAGAGCAGGCTGTCTACAAATCTGGGACAAGCTGGGGAGAGCAGGGGGACCTGAGATGGTGACAGTGACATTTGCACACAGCTCCATGACCAGGTCCCCTGACCATCTGCTCCATGGCTCACAGACAGAGTGGTCCTGATGCAGAGAAAGGGCTGCCACCAAGCCACTTTCTGAAACTCCCCTTGGTGCCAGGCATGGTCACTCACACTGGTAATTCTAAAGCTTTCAGAGGCAGGCAGATTGCTTGAGCTCAGGAGCTCAGGACCTGTCTGGGCAATATAGGGAGACCTTGTCTCTAGAAAAAAAACTTAATTAGCCAGTCATGGTGGTATGCATCTGTAGTTCCACCTACTCGGGAGGCTGAGGTGGGAATCGCTTGAGCTAGGGAGGTTAAGGCTGCAGTGAGCCATAATTGTGCCACTGCTCTCCAGCCTGGGTGAAAGAGTGAGACCCTGTCTCTCTAAATAAATAGGCCGGTGCCATGGCTCAAGCCTGTAATCCCAGCACTTTGGGAGGCCAAGGTGGGCAGATCACCTGGGGTCAGGAGTTCAAGATCAGCCTGGTCAACACGGCGAAACCCTGTCTCTACTAAAAATACAAAAATTCACCGGGCATGGTGGTGCACGCCTGTAATCCCAGCTACTCAGGAGGCTGAGGCAGGTAGAATTGCTTGAACCCCAAGGCAGAGGTTGCAGTAAGCAGAGATGGCGCCCTTGCACTCCAGCCTAGGCAACAAAGTGAGACTCCATCTCAAAAATAATAATAATGATAATAATAATAATAATAAATAAACAGAAATAAAAGCCCCCTTGGGTGCCAACAAAGAAGGAAAGCAGGTAAGCATTCGGGAGCTCTGCATCCTCTGCTGAGTCCAGGCTTGGTCTTGGAGGGCTGAGTCACAGGAAACCAGATGTCCTTCCAGGGGTCTTTGGAGGAAGGCAAGCGAAGTGGCCTCTTCAGTCCCTGCCCTGCCCACTCCGGCTGGCACCTCCCGCAGTGGCTCTTCCTCCTCCTCCTTAGCACAAGCAAGCGGATGCTGCTCAGTGCCCCTGGTGGCCTCACTGACATCTCCCCTTCAGCCTTGCCCCTTTCTCCTCATCCTTCTGAGAGCACATTTTTCTGATGAAGATGAAAAGATGGCCTGTCCTTCTCCAGCACCAAGGAGCTGCATAGCATGTGCACCCTGAGCATGGCAGGCAATCAGAAGAATCAGGGCAGCAGCAGCTCTGGAGAGGTGGCATCTGGCTAGATGCCGAGTCGTGTGGTGTGGGAGCAGCACTAGAGTGGGAATTCCAAACGCTGAGTCGCAGCTCCTGCTCTGTGCTGGGCACCCCATCCATTCATTCTGCAGGTGCTCACTGAACCCTTCTATGTGCCAGGCTCTGTTCTAGTCATTGGGAGTGAGCACAGGAGACCAGGTGCCTGCCCTCCTGGCCTTTACCTCTACTGATAGAACCCAGAAAATAGCAAATAGATGTGTGGTGTGTCTGGAGGCCTAAGTGCAGCAGAGAAAAACAAGGCAGAGTAAGGAGGAGAGAAAGCAAGAGGGCCAGGGGTGCTGTTTTATGAATGAGGTCAGGAAGGCCTTGCTGAGGACATGTCTGGATGAGTCAGGAAGGACGGAGAGAGCAGGCACTCACTGCCAAGGCCCTTGGGTGCAGGGAATGCCTGGTGAGTTTGGGAAACAGAAGGGCAGTGTGAATAGGCAGAGCGAGCCAGGGGGAGGTGGTAGGAGACAGGTAGGGTGTGATGCCAGGCTGGGCACCAGGGTGGCCTTCGATTCCTCATTGTCAGAAGGCAGGGTTAGACGGGGTGGTTTGGGAGGCACATTATGGATCTAAAATTCTACGATGGTTGGATGCCTGTGGGACACCCACAGCACCCATAGGGAGATGATGATCACAGAATGCAGTGACGGGGCCAGGCTTTCCCGAGGAGGTGCCATACAGGCAAAAGAGTACACTGTGGCAGCAGGACAGGAATGGCACCTGTTCAGGGCTAGAGGAGCTCCGGGTCTCCAGTGTGGTCACCTGATCGCTGCTGTATTTATATATATGAAGACTTTTTTTTCCTTTTTTCTGTTTTGTGACAGAGTCTTGCTCTGTTGCCCAGTCTGGAGTACAGTGGTGCAATCTCAGCTCACTGCAACCTCCACCTCCCAGGTTAAAGTGATTCTTCTGCATCAGCCTCCTGAGTAGCTGGGATTACAGGCATGTGCCACCACACTGGCTAATTTTTATATTTTCAGTAGAGATGGGGTTTCACCATGTTGGCCAGACTGGTCTCGAACTCGTAACCTCAAGCCTCAAGTGATGCGCCCACCTCGACCTCCCAAAGTGCTGGAATTACAAGCGTGAGTCACCG